TTTTCCTCTATTTCTGTCAGGTTGGCAATTTATATTCTGAAATCCTATTAGAAACACCAAGATGTGATCTGTTTTTCTGTGAATCCACTGTCTTTGTCATATTCAAAGATAATATATTTTTATTTCATATGAAACAATTTAAAATAGTTTAAAAACAGTTACTTTATTCAGAAAAGACTAGAAGGAAATATGTTCAAATTCTAGAAATGGATGCTGATGAGAGGTGGAATTATGGAAAGTTCTTTCTGCTGTTGCCTTACCCTTTTCTGTATTTTCTAAGTTTTCTGCAGTGAACATACATTACATAAATAATGAATTTTTTTTTAAAAGAAAAAAACCTAAGAGGTGTTTGTACCTGAATGTACAAAATCATTTCATTCAATTTAAGCTAATTGATTTTAATATTTTTAGAAGTCCATTTTGTAAATCTCCCACATAATTCCAAACAATTTGTTATACTTCACCTTCAAGGACATGGAGCACAACTACTCTCCCCCACCACACACACATACTCCCAAAAGGACTGCATGCCATGACTTCCTTCCAAATAATATAGTATGTAAAGAAGAGGGGGAGAAAAGAGTAACTTTTTATGGAGAAGGCTGACAAACACTATTTCAGCCAGGTGATCAACACCTGTTCAACATCATCAGCTGTAAGTCACATGGATAGTGGGTACCCTTGATACACATGATGAAAATGGTACTTTACCTCTGTGGCCATGCTCCCCAAAAGCCATAATTCCAGTCTAATAATGATAAAAACATTAGACAAATCCAAACTGAAGGATGGTTTATGAAACTACCTGACCAGTCCTCCTCAAAAATGTCGAGATCATGCAAAACAAGGCAAGTCTGAGAAATTGTCACAGCCAAGAGGAAACAAGAGTCATGACAAATAAATGGAATGTGGTATCCTAGAGCAGAAAAGAGAAAGAATACTAGGTAAAAACCAAGGAAATCTGGTTGGTCCATTAATCATTACAAATGCACAATACTGACATAAAATGTTGATAATGGTAGTATGTAAGAACTCTATTCTGGTTTCACAATTTTTCTGTACATCTAAATCTATTATACAAAAATAAAGGTTTTTTTTCCCTGTAAATTTATTTTACCCTTTTATGACTTTTTAGAGAAAATCTTGGCAAAACTTGTAATGCATGTGAAGGCTGTGTTTCCTGAGTTAGAAATTTGTGATATTATGAAACCCTACCTTGTCATCCCAAATGCAAAAGAAAGACATAAAAATAATGTCCCATAAGTCATCTCCAACAAAATTTAAACTACTACTTAAAACTTTTAATTATCCAAACTTATAGCTATACTAAAAAGATTGATTTTCCAGAGAGTCAGATGTCATTCTAAGATACTGTTCTGCCTTTACAACTGTGAGAAACACACATGGGTTTGTGCATGCTAAGTCGCTTCAGTCATATCCAACTCTTTGCAACCCTATGAACTGTGGCCCACCAAGCTCCTCTATCCATGGGGATTCTCCAGGCAAGAATACTGGAGTGGGTTGCCATGCCCTCCTCCAGGGGATCTTCCCGACACAGGGATTGAACTCTTATGTCTCCTGCACTGGCAGGCAGGTTCTTTACCACTAGCGCCCCCTGGGAAGCCCAAATACATACATAGATACATACATAAAAATAAAGTTACTATTGAGATAGAATATATATAAATAGGAGTTCTTTTTCAAGAAGAAAATGATAAGTTCTAGGGAAAAAATTTAAGCATCTTCAGATCTTCTGGAAGAAAGTACAAGGTCAAATATAACCTTGTTTCTGTTTCTATAATTATTACAATTTAAGAATGTGTAACCTTCAGGTAAATTTTTTTCATTTGAGTCATTCATTACAGTGACTAAAACCACAGAATATAATTTATCTTGTCCTAGGTTTGGGGTCCTGTTAAAAATGTGAAAAACACAAAAGACAACTTTTCTGAAATAGCATTCAGTTACATTATTTTGAACAGATGGTGGATTGTGTTCAGCTTTTAAATACAAACAAAAGTTTGGATATGAATGGAATAAATATTGGTCTTATTTAATTTGGGGGATTTTTACTTTAGTTTTAAAAAAATGTGTGTGTGTTTGTGTGTATACACACACACACATATATACATACACATACTATGTAAAGAGAATTATGACTTTTAGGCCCATATTTCACTGTTCTCATTTGAGAACCTATGTCACTACTTCTAAAGAATTATATACTCTATATGTTTGCTTTTCGCCCTTTCTCATGGCAGTGTTTTCCCCTTTCTTATGGCATCTTTCAAATGGAAAGATAAGTGAGAAAAATCCCCTGCATTTAAAACCTACCATGGAGAGAAAAGCAGGAGGCAGTCCATAGCCCCTGGGGATCTTCCCAGGTTCAGCAGATTGACCTGAAAAAGGAGTACAACTTGAGTTCCTCCTTTAACAATGCAAGCTCCAGTCAGAGAAGTTTCCAAACACGTGGAACTTAGCAAAACCACCTGCTTCTAATAAGACAATGGCCACTGGACTACCAACTCTGTTGCCTCAAGCCAACACCAGCTCTCCTTCACAACAGATGATGGGCTTTCCACTAGAATAACTTCCCCATTTAAAATAAAGGGGGGCGGAAAGAGAAATTTAACTTCACATATGTGCTAGAAGCTCATAAATTAGGAGTGAAATGGACAGATGAAAAACCTGAAATTGAAGTCAGTCTGACAGTAGAACCAAACAATAATCGCACAGATACCAGCCTTGGCAAGATAAAGTGAGGAGTTCAAATCCCCACTTGGCCAGGGCATGGGCCTCCGGGTGCTATAGGAGCCAACAGAAAGTGGAAAGGAAATTTTGCCCAGGTGCTTATGCTTTCCTCAAGCATGACCAATCTCAGCAGATGTGTGGCACAACCCAGGATCCTTTGTTTATCATCTCTTAATGCAAATCAAAATTACAGTGAGGTACCACCTCACACTGGTCAGAATGGTCATCATTAAATGTTTACAGGGGGCTGTTCCGGTGGTCCAGTGGTTGAGAATCCACTTTGCAGTTCAAGGGACACCAGTTCAATCCCTGGTCCAGAAAGATCCCATATGCTGCAGAGCAACTAAGCCCCTGTGCCACAGCTACTGAGCCCAAGTGCCTACAGCCCATGCTCCCCAACAAGAGAAGCCACCACAATGTGAAGCCTGTGCACCAAAAGGAAGAGTAGCCCCCACTCACCACATCTAGAGAAATCTTCCATGCAACAACGAAGACCCAGCACTGCCAAAAAATAAATACCTCTTTTTTTTTTTTTTTTTTTAAGTTTACAGGGACTTCCCTAGTGGTCCAGTGACCAAGAATCCACATTCCTGATGCAGGAGCCCATGTTTGATCCCTGGTTAGGGAACTAGATTTCACATGCTGAAACTAGGAGTGCAGCTAAACAGTGCACTTTAGTTGCACAACTAAAGATACCACAACTAAGACCCAGAACAGCCAAATCAATAAAATACTTTTAAAATTTACAAATAGGGAACTCTCTGGTGGTCCAGAAGTTAGGACTCTGTGCTCTCACTGCCAAGGGCCCAGGTTCAGTCCCTGGTGGGGGAACTAAGATCCCACAAGCTGCGTGGTATGGCCCCACAAAAAAAGTCTATAAATGATAAATCCTGGGGAGGGTGTGGGAAAGAGGGAACCCTCATACATTGTTGGTGGAAATGTAGATTGGTGCCGCCATTATGAAAAACAGCATGGAGCTTCCTTAAAAAACTAAAACTAAGAGTTGCCGTATGATCCAGCCGTCCCACTCCTGGACATATAGCTGGAGAAAGCTCTTAGTTTGAAAAGATACATGTACTCTAATGTTCACAGCAGCACTATTTAGACAGGGAAGCAACCTAAATGTCCACTGACAGATGAATGGGTAAAGATGCGATATATACATGCAATGGAATACTACTCAGCTATCAAAAAGAATGAAGTAATATTTTTAGTAATATGGATGGAACTAGAGATTATCATACTCAGCGAAGTAAGACAGAGAAGACAACATGATATCATTTGTACTGGGCTTCCCCGGTGGCTCTGATGGTAAAGAGCCTGCCTACAATGCAAGAGACCTGGGTTCAATCCCTGGGTTGAGAAGATCCCCTGGAGAAGGAAATGGCATCCCACTCCAGTACACTTACCTAGAGAATCCCATGGACAGAGGAGCCTGGTAGGCTACAGTTCATGTGATTGCAGAGTCAGACACAACTGAGTGACTTAACTCACACATCATTTGTACATGGAATCTAAATAAATGATAAGAAAGAACACATTTACAGAACAGAAACAGACTCACATACATAGAAAACAAACTTATGGTTACCAAAGAGGAAAGGGGGAGGGAGGGATAAATCAGGAGTTTGGGATTAGCAAATACAAACTACCATATACAAAAAAGATAAACAACAAGGTTCTACTGTATAGCACAGGGAGCTATGTTCAATATCCTATAATAAACTATAATGGAAAAGAATATATATATATATGGATCACTTTGCTATACACAAGAAACTAACACAACACTGTAAATCAACTACAATTTTAAAAAATTTGTAGTTTCTCAAGATCTCTATCTCTCATACCACTCAACAGAAGGAGAAGAATCACTGTGATCAGACCCACAACTTTTCTAGCTCTCCCAAGAGAAGGTCAACTGAATTACAGTTTCCTTGATTTGAGTCCTTAGTCATATATGAGATAGCCTGTTGAACTGGTATTCAATTAAAGGTATATAAAGCACTATTTAACATTTTGTAGGTTAAGAGAATTAAAATTAATATCAGTTAGTAGAAGGAAATTCTCAATTCAGTATCCTATGTCAACCCACATAGGAAAATCAATGAATAAAGGAATTTTAAATGTTGAAGCAGGTGGGATCCATGACGAGAACGAGAGGAAATAACAAAGTCTTGGTATCACACAACTCCCATAAGTCCAGATTTTTGAAAACCATAAACTCATATTCCTTTAGATAATTTTTTTTAAGTTTTAAAGGTTTTTGAAGAGCCTTCCATGATACAGTTAATTAAAATCCGTGTTACTTTTTCAGCAGCACCCACAGTAGAGTCACAGAAACAACCTGAGAAGAAACAAGCCATTGACACAGAATAGAAATGTTTAGAACAAATGTATTTCAAACTGTTTAAATACATTATGGAACATCCATAGAACAGAACAGTAAACAAACAGCTGTGAAAAAGAATGAGGAAGAACAGATGGAATGTTTCAGAAGGGTAGCTAATAAACATTAAGTGAAAAAGCAAAATGCAGGAGTGTATATAATGTCTTGCCATTGAGGGGTGGGTGGGAAACTACACTGGCCTGCCTTGACTTTTTTTGTGCTAGCTCTCTCTGGACAAGGACACAAAACATCCTACCAGCGTTTGCTTCCAGGAAGAGAACTGGCTGGATACAGGATAGGGTTTCTTTTCACTATACTCTATTTCATCCCTTTTGAAGTTTTAGACTATTAACTATGTGGATTGCCTATTGAATAATAAATATTATCTGTTAAGAGAAGCTAGGGAAGCTGTGGGTCTGATCACAGTGATTCTTCTCCTTCTCTTGAGTGGTATGAGAGATGGAGCTCTTGAGAAATTATAGATTTTTAAAAATTGAAATATAGTTGATTTACAGTGTTGTGTTAGTTTCCGGCACACAGCAAAGTGATTATACATTTTCAAGCATATTTCAGAAATAATGAAAAAAATTACCACTACCTTGCCTCAGAAAGCTAAAATGAAGGAGCTGGGGACGGGGGAGACGTTAACTAGGATGTTAACCTTGTACAAGTGTTTGCTTCCAAGGGGGAAATATGTTAACTAGGATGTCAGGAGGTAGATAAAAATTAATACCCAGATTGTGAAAATATGACAATTACTGATGGAAGGAAAAAGAATACTCACTGCATTTAAGTAAGCAGGTATACATTAGGAAAAATGACTAAACAGAGAAAATGCTGGAATTTTTAAAATTTTTAAATTAAATTTAAAATTGGTTAAATTATTAAAAGTCCTTTGTGAAACAAAGCTTCAGAATGTGGTAATATCATAGTAAAATATATAAAGAGATTTTTCAAATGAACCCCATTAGATCCAGAAATCAGTAAAACAATTTCCCTGTCTTAAAATGCTTACACAAACATACCCCTAACACACACAAACTCAGACACATACTGTAAGCAACACATAAGACCATTAAGACAAATCTAGACTTTTATAGCTATTTCTTTTTTAGGGGTCATTCTTTGCATTTTTACTGCCCTAAATTTCCCTCTTCAAGTCACAGCAATGCAGAATTGAGCTTTCTTTCTTTTCTAGTTTTGTTTCCAACCAAGTCTTTTGTACACTTCTGGAATTTAAGCCACCTATGTTACCGCTACTTATCTATAACACCATTGCTTTGAGGGATTAAAGCAGGTTTCTTGTAATACACTTAGATCAAGAGTTATCTGAGTTGAGAAGAATATCCTGTTTGAGTTGGGGCTGAGGAATCTTTATTTTTTTATTTTGTATTTATTTTTTTTGATCTTGAGTTGTTTTGATTTCCCCTGAGAGCAGTAATCTTCAGCAAGTGATATTTTTAAAAAGCCCCAAACACACCACAAAACATTCCAAGTGATTTTAACTTCTGAATGAGGCTGGGCTACCTGAGTGATTCTCTCTCTTCTCTTCTTTGGCAGAAAGGATTAGAAACCTCCACAGAACTTGCTCTCTATTAAAGTGGAGTGCTGTGCATTCATTGGCAAGAGGTGAATTGTTTGCAGATTACATGCGAAAGAGTGTGTGTGTTTCTTTCCCACATCAAAGACTTGGATGGAAGCAGTTCTGAGTATTGCCAGGGATGCAAGAATTGGTGCTAAAGTGATTAGCAAAATTGCTTTCCTGCAAAAGAAGCACAAAACATTACCTAGGGATTAGAGGAGGAGAGGGCAAGATTAAAGGTGATGTTGAATTTTGGGTGGAATATCTTATCCATCTTTTTCAAATCATGCTTCAAGGATTCTGTGGCCCCTCCTTAAGGAAACTGAACAAATCAAAGTCTGGGTTTCTCAAGTTTTGTACATGGGGCGCTGACAAGGTAAAATTAAAACCACTAACACAAGTGGCACTTACTTGTGACCTCCATATCTTTATCTCACACTGCAAATACATTTTGAATGTATTTTATTCAGCACACACCAGCAACCCCATTGACCAAAGAGTCTTTCATTTGTAATTGGTTTGTGTGTCACCTGTTGGACTTAAATGCTAGTGTTTTATTGAATTTCTGAAGTTGTTTGGTTTTAGTAAATCTTGATTAGTATTACGTTCCTTTTTAAACAGAGCTTTCACAGTTGAAACTTTCACCTAACAAAAATGTAAAAATAGAAGAAAAAAAAAGCCATAGAACCCATATTCTAAATAGCGAAAGAAAGATCACACAGCAAACCTCAACAATTCCTTGTTTAGAATATTATTTTAAGTGGTCTCTCTGAAATGTACTATGACATTCTTTGTCACTTGTTGTTGTTTTTTTTTCTCTCTCTCTCTTTCAAAAACTGAATGTAGGCCTCCCTTCTTCCAAGAAGTCTTCCTGACTTTAAGTGTCCCAGTCAGAGTCAGGCAGAAACATATGGGTACATGGAACTGTTCTGTATGTATAAACTTTTTCTTCCTTCTTGGTTTCTTCCTCTAAAACATTTAAGTCCAGGGACTTCCCTGGTGGCCTAGTGGTTGACTTCACCTTCCGATGCAGGGGGGTATGGGTTCAATGTCTGGTTGGGGAACTAAGATCCCACATGCCTCCTGGCCAAAAAACCAAAACATAAAACAGAAGCAGTATTTGTAACAAATTCAATAAAGACTTTAAAAAGAATTAAGTCTAAAAAAGGAATAAAGAAATTACCTGGATAGGTAGAAAAAACATAAAGTTGAGTGTACTAGCAAGATAAATTCAGAGCAATATATATAGTATGATACCATTTACCAAAAAATTTACACACAAAACAGTATCATAATTCTTTAGGGACCATATATATTCAGGTAAAGGTAAAAAATTGGAACAGAATTATATACCTCAAATTCATGATAATAGCTGCCTCTGGGAAGGAAGGTGGGAGATTTGGAGGGCCATGATGAGAGGGAATTTCCCCACATGTGTAATGTTTATTTATTTTAAATTTTCTCTTTAAAAAATTGAGATGATTCACTTACACATAGTTAGGGCATGAGAAGTGTCACTGAAATTCTGGCCTAAAAGACATGCCTAATGTATAGGGGATTTTCTGGTCTTTATATGTCTTTATAACAATAAAACCTGTTTCAAATTTATTAAATAATTCAGAATAGTTGTGACCTCTTCCTCTCCCACAATAATAACATCCTTGTAAACAAATGACCTGTGGTAATGGAGTTTATCTTTGTGTGTATTCTGTAAAGAGTCAGAACACACTGTTGAGTCCTCAGTAAAAAGAATCAATAGGTGAATAAATAAATAAGCACTGTTTGCCTGCCACCCTGCATGCAACAGTTTGTGGACATTTTCATTTTGAAGTTGTTTCTCGAGGTTGCCTATGTGACTTCTTCGCTTTCAAGAACTTGTTGAGAACAATCATTTTTTTATCTGTCTTTCCTTTGGGGTCCCATAAGTCACTGGCCATAAGATAGCTGTGAAATTTGACATTGTTCCAATTTAAATGCTTTACTCCAGCAAGTGCAAGACTGTGGATGCTTCCGTGTGGGGATTGCCATGGCCAGGCTGGTCCTGAGACTCGCCAGCCCTCCAGGCTTCAAAGCCTGTTATCCTTGATCTCACTAAAGAATGTTTTTGAATTCTATGTCCATCTAGTGGTTGCCTGCAAAGATCTACTTGGCTTTTTTCTTTCTTCCTTTTCTTTCACACTTGATCAGTGAGATTCTGTTTGTGATGGGGGTTTTGCCCCCCTTGGTCTTTAATTCTTTCACAGGTGGTTTCAAAGTGTCTATCCTTAGCCCCTGCTTTCTATAAACAAGCAGGAATTCGTGAACCGCAGTTACTGATGGCTCTCCTCACAGAGCAATTCTCTCACTTTGAAAACAGACTGTTTTGTGGACAGTAAAGTACAGTTCTTTTTCATAGATGAGATTAGAGATTGAGGGGAGCTGGAAGGAGGGGAGTTTCTTCCTTTCTCTCTTTTTATTTTTTTAAATGGAGAGCCTTTGTGTTGTAACTCATTTTAACAAATTCAAGAACTTATTTTACACTCAGTTGCACCTTTGGTTAAAGATGGCACGGCACTAAGTAGAAGATGCTGGAATTTGCAGATTTGCTCATTAATTCCAGCATCTCCAGCATCCCAAGTGTAAGGTTAAGAGTTGAAGATCAGGTGGTGACAGAGCCAGTGTGGTTGCCTATCTAAGGGATCAAATTATACCAGTTCTATTAAGAATGCTGATGTGCCACGGGAGGTTGACATTTTCTATGCCATTAAATATTCTTCAACAATATCATTTTAATGGCTACATAGCATTCCACTGAGTAAGATGGACCACAATTTACTCAACCAATTCCCCAGTAGTGAAAACAGGTGTTTCCAATGTTTTGGCGTTATAAAGAGCACTCCATACTCACATTCTTGAGTTTGCTGATAAATTCCTAACAGTAAAAATGTGGCCATAGGGCATATACATTTGTTGAAGCTTTGAAGATTAGCATTCATTTTAAAATTCACTTAAAAAAAGGGATTGGAGGACAGAAGGAATTGCTACTGCAGCTACACACTTAAGATCCCAAGCAAACTTCTACTTAATCAGTTGAGAAATTCCCTCACACAATGTAAGGAAAGAGTGGGCATTGTCTGTTAGCTCCCTAGCAATTCATCTTTCACCATTGACCTACACTGAAACCTTCAGCTTAGGAAAAGAATGTAGAAGGCTCTTATGGAAGGCTTGATTCAGTGGTACTCAGGGTGCTATAATAGTCCGTGTGTGAGCACTTTCATCACTGTAGTTCACTACTGGATCCAGGACCAATCAGGATCTCTTTCACTTTGCTCATTATTGAAATATGATGCTATCTGTGGGGTGGAAATTGCTGAGGAATAACAATCAAGAAAATAAGCTCAAGAGGAGGAATCATTCAGGACTAATGATGAGGGGGTAGCTTTCTCCCTTCTGAACTGCCTAATTGTTAGTTGGTGTAGCCTATGCCTCCACAGAGCCTTGAGCTTGGAAATCCTGGATAAATATTAGATTATGTGGCTTACTTGCTCACATACTTTGCCACCCTAGGCTTTATGGTCAATACAAACCCCTTTGCCTTCCACTCAATATTC